TTTCTGAAGCTTAAACTGTTATGAATTTATCATTCAAAGACTTTCTAATGGTGTTGGCAAAGAGGTTGGATGTTGTTAAACTTGTTTGGGCTGCTGAAGAAGATTTTTCAATCTGCTTTGATAAACAGCTTTGTGAAATCAATGAAACTTGATGGCTTAAGCATTGTCTTGTATACATTGCCTGATTGTAAAATCGATTGACAAATGAAAGTTGTGAGGCATTCAATGAGAGCTTCATGAAGAGAACTACAAATGATTTTTATGCTTCCATCCAAACTAATTCCTTAAAAACCAAGTCTGCCTTTCAAGATAAAAGCTATGCTTGATATACCATCGATTCTACTCAGCTCAGAACAAAGCCAAATATAAAGAAATGCCTTACTGAGACAAAAAATATTTCCTTAATTTAACAGTATATAGTGAAAAAAAGCCACAAAACCTTCAAGTATAAGAGTGTTTGAAATAAAGTTTTGTGATGAGCATGACTTTTTCTTTATTGGAAATTCCTCATTTCTTTAAGAAATATATCTAAACATACTTATTGTAATTTTGCATTTGAATAAATTATATATACAACACAAGTAATCTTTCGGAGTTCTTAAAAGATACATTTTTAGACATTTTTATGGTTACTTTAAGATCAGCTAGATGGGTATTATTGGAAGATGATTTTGCTTTAAAAATATTTGTTTATTTTTATTTTATATTTGTGAATGTTTTGTCTGTATTTAAGTAAAGTGCACCATGTTTGTGAAGGTGCCCACAGATGCCAGAAGAGTGTAAGGGACGTGGAGTTACAGCTAATTTGAATGTTTAAACTCTTGAGAATATTTTAATGCCAATATACAATGAGATTAACATTGTACTGGATAGTTTATGCCATCTGAGAGGAGGAAAATTCACTTGATATAATGTCTCCATAAATTTGGCTGAAGGGCATCTTGTTAGTCAATTAACAATTGTAGGTGTGGCCACTACGAAGCTGTTGTCCTCAATTCTATAAAAAATCAGGCTAAGCAAACAATTAGGAGCCAGCCCATAAGCAGCACCCTTTTATGGCCTTTGTGTCAACTCCTGCCTCCTTGTTCCTGCCCTGTTTAAATTTCTGTCCTGATCTCCTCCAACGATGAACTATGATGTGGAAGTGTAAGACAAACAGTTTCTTCCCCAACTTCTTTGGTAATGATGTTTCATCATAGCAATATTAATTCTAACTAAGCCATGAACTTAAAACTATATAAATCCAATGCCTTCTTCATGCTGTATATTTCTTTTTTTTTCATAATGGGAAAATGGGGAGCATGCAACAATATTTAAATATTGTAACTAGACTATCAAATGTAACTTCCTAAATGTGCTTAGTTTTTTAGATCAAAGGTCAGAATTGCACTAAATATTTAGGAAATCTTTTCACTTAGAGAGTAATCTGTTGATTTAAAATAAAAGTTTAGCACCAATGGGATTTAAAATAATTAAAATCAACATTTCACAAACTTGCTTGGTAGTGTTTTTTCTCAACCAATATTTTATTTTTATAAAGGATATTTTTAATTTGCTGAGAGCAATAAAATAGAGATCAGGACTAAGTGTTTTACTGAGTTGTGTTCTCTATCCAACTTGTATTGAATATTACTTATCAACAGAAATTCATTTTGTTCTGAACCTTGTTAGTTATACAAAGAAGAGATGCCCTACAGACCCAGTAAAATGTAGAATTGACAAAAAAATATATTGACTCATTTTGTGTGGAACACAGCTCAGCCAATATCCAGAAAGAATAGTTGAATGTATTTATGATGTGGATCATATAAGTTTAATTCAAATCCTCCTAAGAACCACTATACCTGTTATATTGATGTTAGTGAAAATCTAGCAAGCAGATCACAGCTGCTTGTAATCTTACTTCCCATACCTCATTTCTCAACCATCTTTTGGATTGTTTCTTCCTTCTTAAGAGTCCAGATCATGACAAATTATATAGATCTCTAGGATGGAGAAATGGCTCAGAAGTTACAGCCAGTGCTCTTCTTGCAGAGGACCTAATTTGGGTTCCCATCTGCTTTTGAGGGCAGCTCATACTGATAGTAACTCCAGTTCCAGTAGATCTAACACTTTTCTAGACTTCCTTAGTGGTACACACACACACACACACACACACACACACACACACACACACATGCATACATGCACATGTGCACACATGTGCTATCACCCTCTCTTAAGTAAATTGATTTTAAAACAATATTATCCACCAAAAGGTCAGTGCATAAATAGCAAAGTCCAGAGGACAACTGAATGAGTGCTTAGTCCCAAATGGGATGACTTTATCAGCCCTACTCAACAATTGTCACCAAGTTTTAGGGGGCACAGTGTAGGAGAGCAAAAGAATTGAGGAGCTGGATAATAGGGAAGAATGCTATAAAATACAAACTTCTGGACTTCACACAACACAAATGGGGGTTTCATTCACAAGATCAGATAGCCAACAGTGATGCAGACATACTCTTCAGGGCCACTGTTTTCATCAAGATAGCCAACCTAGAATAGCCAACAGTGATAGGGACATACTCTGCAGGACCACCCTCTGCTGAGGAAGTACTGAAAGTTGATAGTTATTAGGAAAGGGCAAATCATTCTTTTATTGAGTGCGTTCCCACTTGTAGGTTTCATAGGCTGTGGTGGATTACCCAACACCCATGCACACTACCACCAAGAACAACAAAAAGAGGGCATGGAGTTGTGGTGGGGTCTTGTTAAGGGTGATACATGGAGAATTAGAGATGAGGAATGGGGTTTGGATATGATATTACTACATAAGTTGCATGGTATACATGTATGAAATCCTTGATAATAAAGAAAAATCATTAGATTTAGCTCTCACCCTTGCATTTCTTGAAGCAGGCTTGAGCATTACTTGAAGTAAGGAGGCAAAACTGGCTCAACCAACATTGAAAATATAGTTCTGAGAAGGTGGAACACAGCATGTGAAAATATAGTCCCATGGCTAATCTTACTTTCTAAGGAAGGAGTGAAATGTAATCTTTATTTTTAGTGTATGTATGTCTACCTGAAAACTCCACACTCTATCACTGTATAGAAAGGCAGGTGTTGGAATTCATGGGTATAAAGAAATTTCAGCATGGTATGTGTGGAACTGGACACTCAGAATGAGACACAGAAAGTGAACAGGAACGATAAACCCTTAAGGCTCTGGACAGAATGGAAGTCATTTTTACATGTAAATATTGTGATTTCAAGCCTGTCATAGTGTCTTTCAAGGAAGACTAAGTCAGGTATGTTGAAAGTTTGAGGCCCATTCAGACAATATAGAGAGTTTCATACCAGCTTGTGCTATAAACTCTATCTAAAAGTAAACAGGATTTCAGAGACAAATAGTCTGTATTGTGGCGAAGTATCACATAGCAGGCAACTTAATTTAATAGTTTACTCTCTCACCTATCTTGAGGTTTGAAATCTAAAACTGGCATCCCCAGGTTCATACATGCTCTGAGATTCAGTTAGCAATCTCTCTTGCCTCTCTGTAGCTACTAATAATGGCTGTAAGTACATGGCATCTTTTGCATTTTAGGTGCTTCACTCCAGCTTTGCCTTTATGGTCACTTAGCTGTTGTTCTAGGTAGCTGCACTTGCATGGTATTTCCTCCTCTGGGTATGTGTAGTATATGCACTTGTGTGTGAAAATACACTAAGTAGTACAAGAGCATGTGAAGTTCAGAATGTCTTCATTAGCCACTTTCCCACTCTTTTGTTTGTTTGTTTATTCTAAAACAGAATCTCTATGAACTTACAGCTCGTGCCATTTTGGCTAGATTGGCCAATAAACCCAGGGGTGTGCTTGTCTCTGCCCTGTTCAAACCCCAGTGCCAGGGATAAAAAGGTGCATGATTACACCTGGTTATTTATTTGTTTGTTTTGTTTTTACATGGGTTCTGGGGTTATGAACTCAGATCCTTATCCTTGAACAGCAAACACTAGCCAGTGATTCATTTCCACAGCCCAGCTGTCTTCCTCTTGAATGGACACAGAACACATTGTACCAGGACTACCCACCATCATCTTAGATTGATCCTATTTTTAACAAATACCTCATAAAGAGAAAACTTTTCACTACTTATGGTTTCTGAGGTTCTAGTCCATGGTTTTGTGAACCTGTGGGGAGGCATTGAAACATGGATGGAATGTCAGTTGGTCAAGACCACTCTTGAATTGAAGAGTGGAATATCCCTCTCTAGGCTTTGACCATTATTCAAAGTTGCCACAACTCCCAGTAGTGCTGTGGATTAGATCTATAATAATCTCCAAATCTTTTACATTAAAATTTTGTTATGTCTATATACTTACTGGGAAGACAAGCTTTAAGGTAATCTTAAGTATTAAGAAACAACCCCTCAGAATTTTTTACCTGTGTTCAGTATCCCACCCCTGTGAACACAACACCAGGCATAGTTATTTGTCATTTCCATATATAGGACATGCAGTTGTGCATATGAGTGTTCTATCCGTCTCTGTCCCCAGCATCTTTGAAGTTATTTTTACTTTATTCTGGGTATACTATGTAACTATTTAATGAATATATATTCAAAATACAGGTTTTAAGTTAATCACTAGCATTGTAAGATTCACATTCCAAAATTTTAGCCTATGGAAAATTGATCAGTATATTAAATGTTAAAGATGTATACAGATTTATTTGTGTACTGTGAGGGTGGAAGACAACATAGATAATAGTACACAGACAAAGCACACATGTTGGGTGCCAATTGAAGGCAGGGTTTAAATGAGTCCACTAGACCCATGATAAATAGTATTTATTATGGAAGCATTTACACAAATAATATTAAATAACCGCCTTAGTCTTCCTGCTCCAGAAGATATGTTCTCTGCCCTTCCTTTACTCTCACCATGCTCTCATTGCAACCAAAGAGAGTGATCCAGCCCCTCCTATGCCTTAGAAGGGATCACTCTGAACATCTGAAACCATGCCTACAGGATGTGGCCACCACCACACGTTCACTGGCAAAGTAAGATATCACTACACAGTAGATAGTAAATATTTTTATTTATTTATTTATTTTTTGGTTTTTCAAGACAGGGTTTCTCTGTGTAGCTTTGGAACCTATCCTATCTCACTCTGTAGACCAGTCTGGCCTAGAACTCACAGAGATCTGCTTGCCTCTGCCTCCCGAGTGCTGGGATTAAAGGCATGTGCCACCAATGTCTGGCAGTAAATAATTTTTTAAGTGTGTTGCTCTCTTCTTTCAGTTTTATTTATAAGGAAATAATTACTTTATCAGAAATTTGGGCAAAGTATAAATCCTAAAGTGAACTGTATTTAGATGAAATTAAATCTTCCACTTGCATTCCTTTCTATAAGCTCAGCAATGGGATTATTTCAGGTATCTTCTTAAAAGATAAATTAAGAGATTCCATGAAAACCACTGTTTTTCTCCTTGTTTGACATGCACTATTAAACAATAAAAAAGTCTAATTTCTTTCTGAAGGGGCGGTGGCCTATGATCCTTGATCACATTTTAAATAACTTGATGAATTGGAATAAACTATTTAGTAATGCATTTTGTGTAAGATAGTATATCTACAGGTTATATAACTTGAGGTGCATCTTTGTCTTTTCAGTGTGCGCAGGAACAGAGAATAAACTGAGCTCTCTCTCTGACCTGGAACAGCAGTACCGAGCCTTGCGCAAATACTATGAGAACTGCGAGGTAGTCATGGGCAACCTGGAGATCACCAGCATCGAACACAACCGGGACCTCTCCTTCCTGCGGGTACAGCTGTTTCTTTTTCTATTCTTCTTTGTGATTGGGCATGATGTCCCGACGTGCAAAGGGAGTCCTGATTGATTAGACGTGGTAGCTCTACCCTTCTGCCAGGCAGTCTGTGACTGTCGGCCAAAGATAAGCAGCAGAGAGGCACCTGTGGGAAAAGACTAGGAATAGCAATGCCAAAGTGACTGACGACCCAGCTTAGAGGAGTTGCTGTCACCATTAGATTGATAAAAAGATTCTGTCAGTGTATAGCACAGACCATACTGCAAGTCCCTCCTTCTCTGACAGGGTGAGGACTAAGAGAGTCAGAGAACCAATCAGATAAGAATGGGTGGCTTTAGCTTCATCCCTTTTCTGGCTCATTTCTGTCACTTGGAAGAGAGGACAATGGAACAATATAGTTACCCCTCCTAATTCAAGCCAATGATATATTTTTTTGAAACTGTAAACAATTCAAAGTGGACTCAGAAGAAATAACAAGTACATGCATACATCCATGTATTACCTACTAAAATTACATAACAAATGTGACTTGAATTCTAGAAAGATCCAGCCATAGAAGCACTCAGCATTTGAGTCCTTAGCTCTTGTTTCTAAATTGTACAGAATCTATTCCAGGCCATATGTGAGAAACTTAATGATGTTGTAGCAAAGGAAAACTAAAGGAGAAAGCTCAAACTGAGGCAGAGCAAGTAAACAGTACATGAGATCCAAACAGTGTGGCAGGAATAAGGAATGCACTCTAATGACAACTGTGCTTTCAGTTTCCCATGTACTTCGCTTATTTGCCAAATCACTAGATTTCATTGAAAGCCAAAAGTGTGTGTTTGCGACGCATATCTATATTATGATACATATTTATATTATATTCTTTAAATAATACAATGTGAAAATGTTTATAATTATGTAAACCTTATGATCTCATAATACAGTGACACAGTTCTTTCAAATGTTAACCTTTAGAATATGAAAGTTACATAGAGAATATTGAGCAACATCCTTTAAACCATGTGTCTAAAATTCATAGGAAACATTGAATGCAATATTTTGAATATATTTGGGGAATAAAAAATAAATAAGGCCAAGATTTCTATGTGGAACTAGAAGTATTTTCTTCTAATAAGTATTTGCTGGCTCCTAAATAGTTTCTGTAAATGTTTATAAATCTTGTGCTAACCCACACACATCTATAATTTCATGTTTTATTAAGAGTAATTTTAATCATTTTCTTTTTAACATATTTTATTCATACATCTTGTTCCTTTATAATACAATTATTATTAAATGTGACATGTATTTATTTATTAACAATAATCTTAGCTAACCTACAATAGCAAGTAATTTCCTCTTGACTACAACTGTTCTAGACACTGAGCACACACTTCTAAATAGATCACATATGACTCCTGCCTACAAGGAACAGAGAAGTGGAGATGAAGAAAAAAATATGAGTAAAATGAAGTATTCTACTGGAACAGTAGTGTGGCTAATGCCAAAAATATTTAGGTGATGTCAGCATCCAAGCAACATTTGATTAGCTGAAATTGTCAAGGGACATTGAAAAGAGAAAAATCAACCAGTAGACCAAGAGTCTCATTTTGTGTTCTTCAATGAGCTAAGAATTGTGATGTGAGAGAGAGAGAGAGAGAGAGAGAGAGAGAGAGAGAGAGAGAGAGAGAGAAAGGGAAAGTAAGAAATATAGAAAGAATTCCTGTCTGAGATTGGCAGCCCTATTTCCTACTAGTGAGTGACGTGTAAATGGAATTCTTAATTGCTCTAGTCAGATATAGAGGGAAATGATGCTGAGAGATCAGAGAGGATCAAGCCACAGTACACCTTACCTCCTCAGGGTCTCAGCAGAGAAGAGAGCAATTTCCTGTTTCTCCCTGCTTATATCCTGTTTCTGCCCAGCTATGTCACTTCCTGTCTGTCTGTACAGACCTTCAGACCTCTATGGTAAGCTAGTGACAAGCTCCTTTCTCTGACCCCAAGACAGGATTTATTTGTACAAGAAAGATATTACCACATGTTATTTTTAATTGTACTCTAGAGTATTCTAAAATCCTTCTAATATGGAATTTTATTTATTCTAAAAATCCCAGTCTGGCTAACCTGTCCTTATAGTAGCTTTCTGTCTCAATAGATAATTGACCAGTAATGACACATTAAAAACAGAAACTATGCAATGAAATTCTGGTTCTTTATATCACGTCACCCATCCATATAAGATTTGAATTGAGGAGGCAAGCTGTAACCTCATGCCAACCATTGTCTTGGATCACACAGCCCTTAGATGTGCTCATGTGATTATTATTTACAGAATAACTTTTCATAGTTGTTCACAATTTTTCTCCTGGAAGAATAACTTAAATCTATCATGTATGTGGAGAGGCATAATGGGTATCAATTTCTTTCTTGATATATCCCTGCCATTAGGAGTCACAAAAATTATTTTATCTTGAAAGAGATATGATGGGGGATGTCCTTCTGTGTATATGTCTCTCTTATTGGTTAATGAATAAAGCACTGTTGGCCAATAGGGAAGCAAGTTAAGTGGCACTAGGGGAGGAGGATTCTGGGAAATGTAGGAAAGGGAGAAGTCACCATGTGATCCTGGGGACAGAAGATGCAAGCTGCTGGTGACCTGGATAAGATAAGTCTCTATAAAATATATAAATCAAGCCTGGCGTTGTTGGCGCACGCCTTTAATCCCAGCACTCAGGAGGGAGAGGCAGGCCAATCTCTGTGAGTTCGAGGCCAGCCTGGTCTCCAGAGTGAGTACCAGGATAGGCTCAAAAGCTACACAGAGAAACCCTGTCTCGAAAAACATATATATATATATATATATATATATATATATATATATATATATCAATGGTTATGGTTGATACTTAAGACAGAGATAGCAAATAAGAAATCGTAGTCATTGGCCAGCAGCATTGCAACTAATATTAAACTCTGTGTGTTATTTGGGGGCCCTAATGTGGTGGTGCAACTCAGGCGGCTGCCAGAAAGAGTTATCATTACAGAAATATCCCATTCTTTTTTCATATCAAAGCAGCATGGTGGTTCTGACATTGTTTTTTTTTAAATTTTTTTATGAAAGCACTCTCAGTTCTGTGACTTGTAACAGCAGGTTACCTACAGGCCAAATTTACATCATAACTGATCACTCAGTATTTAGAAATGTACCTTAGTGTACTAGGTGATTTGTTCACTACAGATGTCAACAGGTATATGTTTGTATATGTTTTTGTGTGTTCTGCATGTGTATGGGAGTGCAGATGAACACATACACATATGGCCATGCAGAAGCCAGAGCCTGACATCAGATATCTTCCTTGATTGCTTCTCCACAATATTTCCTTGAGACTGTTTCTCTCAATGAACATGGAACTCGTCGGTTTGGTCCTACCAAATACCAGAGTTCCTTCTTTCCCAGCCTCCTCACTGCTAGGATTAAAGTTATGTTATGCTCTGCTCAGCATTTTATGAGATGTGCTCAGGATCAAACAGGTTCTCACACTTGCCAGCAATCATGTTACTGACTGATTCTCTTTCCATCCCCAGTGAGTAATTTTGAAAACTATTGATCTGTTATAGCGCTTCCTTTTATGGTAATATGTTTTCTAAACAATATGAAAGTTTCTTTTCATGGCCTTATTATTTCAGTGCCAACATACCCACAATGGTATCTACGTGAGGAAAAAGTGCAGGGTGTGACAATTAGAAATCCCACCCAGGAGTATTTGGTATTATATCCAATAGCATTCAGGTTTTGTATCAGTTAGTTCCTTGTCTCTTTTGGTACCAGATCATAGCCATCTTTGTCTTGTGGTTTAAACGTCAGAGAGAAATGTACAGCCAGCAGAGTTGAACCAGCACTCTGAAACAGACATGCAGAACAGAGAAAGAGAAAGAGAACATATACCCAGATTATTAATGTGAAACTCATTTCAGTTGTGCCCAGTCATTTTATTCATTGTGCCCATGAGATACTTCTGGAACTTGATTGTCAGTTTACAATTTCTACCTTCCCCCATTTGACTGGATAAAAGTTATTTATTTTAGTATAACTGAAGCATTCCAACTAGTAACTCTACAAAGATCTCAAAAACAAATAAATAAATAGGCCTTTGAAATTAGATAGAAAATAGGTTGTGGACATAACCTAGTTGATGGGATGCTGGCCTAGCAAGCACAAGGTCCTGGGTTTCATTCTCTCTATCCAACAAAGAGTACAATCTGGATGTGTTTGGGGGGCATGTAAAGTCATGACAAGAGGAGCAGAAGATCTCAGGGTCTATCTTGAGCAATAGAGTCAAGGTCATCCTGGAAATGAACAGATTCTTCTAAACGAACATGGAGGAGGAAGAGGAAGGGGAGGAAGAGGGAGAGGAGGAATAGAAGTTGTGTTTTGAGCCTTTTAAGATCACTGGGATGCTTTGGAAAGCCTTACATTTTTTTCTTAGGCAACATCAGTTTTGATGAAATACATTTCAATGCATTGTTTTCAAGCTTTCATTATAGAAAAGATTCTCCTTCTGCAGCTTTTCATGCAATCTCCTTTTTCTGAATTCCTTTTTTGATGGAAAAATAATCGTGTTGACTGTTTTTAACATTCGACCGCTAAGCCAGCACATAGTTGGCTAGGAAAAAAGGCTCTAAAATTTATTTTATCACCACCACAAGGTTAAGGCATAAAATAGAGAGCAACAAGGCATAAAAATTACAGAATTGTGTTATTGTCTACACTTTGTGAACTCTCTAAAACAAGCCATGGTGTAGCCAGTAATGGGAATGAACCATTAGACCTCTTCCTTATTAGGATTCTGGCCAGCTTCTCCTCCTTTGTCATACATTGGTCTTCCTGACTACTGTGGGAATTCAGTAGTTTAGCTCTACTAGAAAGGTACCTGACCCCTCAGCTTTTATAGCTCAAATTTAATTTTCTTTTTTATATATCCATGTTAGCAAATAGTTATTAATTGTCAGCTATT